CAAACAGAAGTTCAGACTTCCAGACCATTACTTGCAGCCCACTATTGGGTGGGCTTTGTGGAAGAGGAACTAGAACAGTGGTTCTCAACCTGTGGGTCACGACCCCTTTGGCGGTCGAACGACCCTTTCACAGGGGTTGCCTAAGACCATCCTGCATATCAGATATTTACATTACGATTCATAACAGTAGCAACAATACAGTTATGAAGTAGCAACGGAAATAATTTTATGGTTGGGTCACAACATGAGGAACTGTATTTAAAGGGCCAGAAGGTTGAGAACCACTGAACTAGAAGGTGAGGTTGACATCAGGCCTCTGGAGCTCTTGTGTCTTCCTAGTCCTCGAGAGCCAGTCTGGAAGTGGGCAAGAGACACTTCCTCTGGGTGAAGTGTCACCAGGTGCCAGCCTTGGCATTGTGCACAGATGGCATGATTACAGAATGCAGAGCAGTCCCTAAAGGCAGGACTGCTCCAGCCTGTTGCGCCAACTCAGACTTGTCCTAGGGCTTTCCTGATGGCTCTGGAGCTAGACCAAGGATCAGTTATCCAGATTTCTCTGGGCTCCTCGGTAACAGGTCTCAGACCCTCACATGGCCCCTTGTGCAGGGCCAAGAGCGCGCCCACTCATCTTTACAACTCCCTTGGTGGCCAGGCATGCTGCTGACCTTGTCTTATCACAACATTCTCTTTGAAGGGCAGACCAGCAAGTCCCTTCTGTTGAGTATACTTTGTCCTTGGCATTGTGTTCCTGGAATTTACTGTCTTTTTAAAAAAATTTAGATTATAAGCAAGAAAGAAGTCCTTTTCCACATGTTTTCCCCACCTCCCCACAACACTGGGATTGATTATGAAATAAGCCTGTTCCAACTTCAATTGTTCTCTTTGGCCTTGGTTCCTAAGCACCCCTGCCTCCCCCACAATATCCTCCTCATTGCTGACATTACCCCTGTCCATCTCTCTGTCTTTGTGCCTCCTATTAAAATAGTCTCTCTCCTATGACACATGTTTCAGATGTCACTCCCTCCTGAAACTTAGAGCCTCTGCCCTCTGTTCTCATTGAATTAAGTCAGGGCTGTCTTCCCATCTGACTTGATTAAGAAGTATTTGTTTAATTGTGTTAATTGAAATAAACCATACTCAGAGGAAAAATATTGTATAATTCCACTTATATGAAGTATGTAGAATAGGCACATACATAGAGCAGAAAGTAGAAAAGAGGTTACTGGGGTTTGGGGCATCATGAGGAATGAGGAGTTATCTTTTAATGGGTAGAATTTATACAGGGGGTGATGAAAAAGTTTTGGGTATAGATACTGGTGATGGGTACACAACATTGTAAATGTATTTAATGCCACTAAAAACGTGAAAATGATAAATATTATGTATATTTTACTACAATAAAAAGGTAACTAAAAAACCCCACAAAAGTTGTTTATTTAAATAGCTTTTCCTTGTAGATTGCAAGCTCGTGGGAATGGTGAAAAAACATGACTTTTTCATCTTTACCCAGCACAATGCTTTGGATGAGATAGTCACTCATTATTGCTTCAAATCAGGAATAGAAAGAAAAACAAAAATAAGGTATCTTTTGACATATCTGCTGCCTCCAAAAATGTATATATACAAACACACATAAAACTGCTATGAACAAAAGTGATTCTAATTTGGTTTGAGAATTTCCAACTCCTTTTGTCAGTGAAGGCATACTTTAGGTGTCACTGCCCTAAAGACCCCAGGTAGAAGTCAGACCTGCAGGTGAAGAGCCTCTGTCGGTTTGAAGAACTTCCTTCCAGTCCCCTTTCATGTGGAGTCATACATTTCTGCTCCCTGAGATCAGTGTGATCATTGGCAAAGTGTTGCGGACAACAGCACACAGCACATACAATATTTGTCCAGGCACATGCACGAATAGCTAATTAAAAAGAATTCTGCCTTGAGCCCGCAGTTGTTCCTATCAGGGTAGCAATAGGAAGTAACTGCCCTATGCCTTCACTGGACACACCTCACGGTTCCCATGGGTTTAGCCTTCTCTCCTCTAGCTCAGATCTGGTGGTGTCAAGGGTAGAAGAGCTAGTTCACAGCCAGTTAACAGCAATGAGGTACATGGAGAGAAGAGATGGTGAAATCAGGACAGGTGCCTCCTTTCTCTGCGTCCCTGGGGATCCTAATGTGCTTTTGTTTTAATCTTACACTCTTCTTGGAAAGACAGTGTGAACGATAAAATTCAAGCCTGTAAGTGATATGTGTCTTTAGTGGCTTCTCAATTTCTCTTTTTTGTGCCTTTTGGCAGCTGCCCTCCTCTGGCATTGCCAAACTGTTTAGAGGCCTCCAATAGGCTGAGGGCAGAATCTGAGGAGCACTAACACCTGCTGAGAACTGGATTGGTGTGTATTTCCCTTCCCATGGGATGTACATTTCAAGAAGCTCCGAGAAGGGGACATTGCACACCTGGAAGCTAGAGTTCATGTCTTGTTCCTCTTTGCATCCCAGCCCCCAACATGATGCCTGGAGCAAAGGAAATGATAATAAATGTTTCCATGAAAATGATTACTGGCAGAATTCCCATCTCTGTGACACCAGGTTGAGTTCAATAGGTTCCTCTTGCAGATCAGACAGAACTTTGGGGGTCCTTCATATCTTATAGGAAGGGATATGAGACCCTCCTCTTAAAAGACAAACATTTAAAAGTGTTTTCATAAATGTATATAAGTACATTTATACATTTCAAAGTGTATAATAAACCTACAAGTGGGTGATGGTGACGTGTAGGAAAAGGAAAAATCCCTTCATACTGAGAACATACTAGCAGTCACTTCACTGTTCTCAGTTCTTGAAATTAGGATCAAGGTCTTTCCCTCTTCAGATCATCAGGTAGCCATCATGTGCCAGACACTGTATCCCTAAGAGATGCACCTGTGACTGAGATAGAGATAGTCCCTACCGCCATGGGGCTTAGATACTGTGGAGACAGGGTCATAAATTACATTCCTGGTGAGGTATTTAATTCAACTCTGACCAAGAACAAAAGGGCCCTGTGCTCACCAAGAGAGGCCACAGTCAAGGGAGGCTTTTAGGAGGTGACGGTGGATGTGGTCATCAAAGGGTGGATAGGAGTTAACCAGCCACAGGGGGAGTGAGAGTGGTCTATTGAAGGAGGAGCATCTACATAAACCCTGAGACTAGAGGGAGCATCAGGAGTTGGAAAAACCAAATTCCATGCGGCTGGTGTGCAGACAGGAGTGTGAATTGGACATGAGGTTGAGAGGTCAGCAGGGCTAGGGCACTCAGCTGTGCAGCCAAACCGTACTCATTGTTGCTCAAATGGTGTCTGAACAGTTGTCTGAATGCATCTCAAGTAATCACTCTAACCAGCGGTTCTCAACCTGTGGGTCGCGACCCCTTTGGCGGTCGAACGACCCTTTCACAGGGGTCGCCTAAGACCATCCTGCATATCAGATATTTACATGACGATTCCTAACAGTAGCAACATTACAGTTATGAAGTAGCAACGAAAATAATTTTATGGTTGGGTCACAACATGAGGAACTGTATTTAAAGGGCCAGAAAGTTGAGAACCACTGCAAACACTTTAAATTCTATAGTGGAGTGAATATATAATCAAGGAACATTTTTTTTTTCATTTTTGAACTTGTTTGCTTACTTGATACAGGGATAGAAGTTTCAGGAAAAGTGGATGAAGCAGTATTGGGTGGGGAGTGGGGAAGAAGCATTCACAGTTAACATTACCATAATTTCAGAACACTGAGGTGAATGCCTTGGAAAGCATAGTCTTCTGAGACTCTCAACTATGAATATGTGAGAGGTAGGGAGGTCATCAGTGCAGTCATAAATGAATATTCAAATTGAATCTACTTGTAGATTAGTTCAGGATTAATCTTCTGCATTTTCCCATTAACCAAGGGAAATATTGCTACACTTAAAATTGGCAGTCACTGGTCATATTTAAGCTTGGATTTCAAAACCACCCCTGACTATTTTGGCAGGACATATCTTGGATTGTTGTTTTTAAGCAATCCAGATTCAGACTAATTTTTTTTTTAATTTAAGCTGCCTGGAGGGAGCCTTCATCTTTGGTTACTTCTTATATATAAAGTAGAGGACCGGTGCATGATTGCATGCATGGGTGGGGTCCCTCGGGGTGACCTGCGGGGATTGGGCCCCAGCTTGCACCCCCAGGCTCAAAGCCCCAGCTTGCACCCCCAGCCTCGCAGCCCCACAGCCCCGCCTGGTACCCCACCACAGCCTGGCACCACCCCCTCACCTGCTCCAACATCCCACCTGCGGGGTGATCAATCAGGGCGGGGGGGGGGGGGCAAGGTTCCCCCCCCCCCCCAGCTCGGCCCCCTCAGCCTGGGAGCTGGGTGGTGGCCACGCCCCCCGCCGTTGGTCACCGTCTGTGGGGCGATCGGTGGGGCCATCAGGCCCCCTCTCATACCTGCCTTGGCCTGGCACCGCCTGCTCACCTGCTCCATCATCCCACCGTGGTCCTGCTCTAGTCAGGGCCCATTGGGACCCCACTGCCTTCCAACGCCCACCCCACCTGGTGGTCAGCACACGTCATAGTGAGCGGTCAAACTCCCGGTCAAACAATTTGCACATTAGGCTTTTATATATATAGATATCATGCTAGACAATTTGGGTTTCAGGAAGTATCTTTTTCAATTTTAAGAACTGTACTGTAAACAGTCTATTTATTCTTTTGGTTAAAGAGGATAGTTTCTCTGGATCTCTAATATTTGCCAATCTCTAAGGAAAGGCAGGGTGCCTGACTTAGTCATCCAGACTCTGCCAATGAGATGACCAATGCCTTTGAGGAACAAGAGTGTGTAAACTGTTGACTCTAAGTTTGGGCCTCTCTCACCCCATGGTGTGTAGTGATAGTCTGGATGTTGCCATCTTACTTAGGGGATTTCACATGGTCCTCGATCTTGACTATTTACAGCTTGTCCTCCTCTCTCCTCCTGCCTCTGGGTTATTAGGTTCCTACAAGTTCCCTGCAAACTGCCCAAGACTTCAAGCCAAAGATTGTGGTGATGAGTAGCCTGCGGGTCATTCTTCAAGCCTCTTTATGCAAATCGCTGTGGAGAAGATGCCAGATTCTGAGATCCATGCCAGTGAGGCCCTGCAGCCTCTACACCTGCAGTTACAAAACCCGGAACCGAGCCTGTGAGTACCCTGCTGCCTTAAGGAGAGCAGGATGCTTGTTTCATAACAGTCATGCATGTTAAAGATTTGTGGATAGGATGTCAGTGGCATTCCAGAGTGGGTGTATATGCCTTAAGAACTTTGAGAATTAATTACTTGTTTCTCTATCTGTCCTCTAAAAGGATTGTGGAAAGTTCTTTTTGCCCCAGTTTTACTGAGATATAATTGACACATAACATGTATAAGTCTAAGGTGTACCACATGGTGATTTGGTACACATGTATATCGCAAAATGATTACCACAGTAAGGTTTGGAAAGTCCTTTTCTTGACAAGTTTGAACATGTTAAAATTATGTCCTACAGAAATGGGACAAGGGTGAGATCCCAGTTTCAAATACTTTGAAACCTGTTCTTTATTGTTTCTTGTTAGCAATTGTCTTTTTAAAAAATTTATATTTTTATTCATTTCAGGGAAGAAGGAAGAGGGAGAGAGAGAGAGAGAGAGAGAGAGAGAGAGAGAGAGAGAGAAACATCAATGATGAGAGAGAATCATTGATCGGCTGCCTCCTGCATGCCCCTACTGGGGATTGAGCCCATAACCTGGACATGAGCCCTTGATTGGAATCGAACCCAGGACCCTTTAGTCTGCAGGCCGATGCTCTATCCACTGAGCCAAACTGACTAGGGAAGCTATTATTTTTTTTTATTAAGGTTGGTCCACAGACAGTGAATGATTTCTGTGGATCTGAACATTCTAGAAGATGCATGTTAATGATTGCCAGCAGTTCAAAACAGTAGCATCACACCCTGGAATATTCTTTCCTGAGTTACACATTGTGGTTGCTTCTAGCAGACCAGCTTGTTGAGTGTATGCTCTGCTGTAAACATAGCAGATCAAGTGAGGCAGCAGATGGTCTCTGTTGAAACCTCTCACATCTAATCCCCCTGACAAAAGACCAGTTACCATCTACCTCTCTATGGGGCAGGGATTCTCCACTGCAGCACCACTGACATGGGGGTGGGTCATTCTGTGTTGTCAGGGGCTGTCCTGTGCACTGTAAGATGTCAGATGGCATCCTTGGCCTCTGCCCACTAGATGACTGCAATATCCCTGCCCAGTTGCAACAACCAAAAATGTCTACACAATACCAAATGAGCTCTGAGGGACAAAATTGCCTCTGGTTAAGAAATGATAGGAGAGGATAAACTTTGTATTTGTGGAGAGATGAGTTTGAGTTTGTAGAGAGATTAAATGGATAAATATATCATTGGAGAGGTATTTTTCATATTTTCCATTAGTTTAAAGGGGTTGACTCAGAGTTTCCAAATGTTGGCTTGCTTCTAGGTCAAGGTTTCTCTATTTTTTTCTCTTTGGGTTTAGTCTCTTTTGATCCCATTTTCACATAATAAAAGCATAGGTAAGAGGAATGCTTGTAAAATAGGAATGATAATCTAGCTAAAGCCAAGGACTTGAAACTGCTCCATAAATATATTTTTATTGAGAGTGTATTTTATTTCCTCTCACATTGACCGTGTTCTCATTAAAATGAACTGCCCAGTGTTATAATACATTTCTGGTTGCTGGGTGTGGCTTCCTACCACCAAGCCCACATCCTACCCAGACTGGCTTATTCTCAATACTGGCACTTAGAGGCTTAAAGTGGAAAAAAATATTTATCTAGGTAATAAAGTTTTACTTTTTTAACAGAAAAGTATAAGTCCCTAACACTACCTAGTAGTTAAATAAAGTGAACCACAAAAATGAGCTATGTAGGCAATTCCATATTTTCTAATAGTCACACCTAAAAATGAATAAATAGTATGTCAGTTGCATCTCAATAAAACTGGGGGAAGTAAATTTTGTTCATTTGTGTAATTCTACTAATATAGAAAATATAGGTGAAATATAGTATATGGGTGAAATAAATTTTACTAATATATTTTATTTAACATAATAGATCCAAAATATTATCACTTTAAAGTAAGATGAATATAAGGATTATAAATGAAATATTTTACTTTCTTTGTTTTATACTAAGTCTTCAAGGTCGCTCAGTGTTTTACATTTATAGCACATTTCAATTTCAACTAGTCACACTGCGTGTGTGGGTACCATGTTAGACAGTGCAGGTACAGAGAGCAGTTGCCTAGGAGTAACAGTAGATGAGAGGATGCTTAATGTAATGTGCAGCTGTCAGGGAAAGGGCTTGAACTGACCTTGAGAGCCAGTAGGATTTTCACAGATGGGAAAAAACAGGCAGATGTGATCATGTGACTGCAGGAGGTGTTCTGGGTACACTTGCTTGCCTGGTTGGAGAGACTATGGGTGAGAGGTAAGGTTAGAGAGCCTTGGTATCAACTTGTTTGGTTTTCTCTATCAGTAAGGTAAGCATTAAGTGCCTCCTTTGTGCCTGGTACCAAGTTCAGCCCTGGGCCTGTAGCAAAAGTACAGGATTCAGGCCCTAGGGCTTAGAGTTGACACAGGCCCCTTGAGCAGATAAAGTAAAGGCACATTGCATGAAACATGGTTAAGTGCTAAATGGTGTGAGGGTGAATGCAGTGTGAGTTCAGCAGAAGGAAAGGTCAGAGTGGTTGGAGAAAATGGCAAGACTGGAGTTTGGGAAGATGGAGTAGAGGTGAGAGAGGAGGCAAAGCAACCAAGAAGCATGGTATGAAGTCTGGGCTATAGAGACCGGAACTAGGCTGGTGGTCATGGGTGAGATAAGAAAGAGATAAACCTAAAATATTTTTAAAGAAAAAATAATGTGGTCAGTAGGGCAATCTATATATATACTAGAGGCCCAGTGCACTACATTCGTGCACTGGGGTGGGGTCCCTCAGCCCGGCCTGCATGCCCTGGCAGTCCAGAACCCCTCGCTCCTTACCGCCTGCCTGCTTGCTGCTCCTTACTGCTCGCCTCGCTGCTCCTTAGCTCTGCTGTGGAGGCGGGAGAGCTCCCACCACTACCGCTGTGCTTGCCAGCTGTGAGCCCGGCTTCTGGCTGAGCGGTGCTCCCCCTGTGGGCGTGCACTGACCACCACACCAGGGGGCAGCTCCTGCATTGAGCGTCTGCCCCCTGGTGGTCAGTGCACATCATAGCGACCAGTTATTCTGGTTGTCCCGCTGTAATGGTCACTTAGGCTTTTATTATATAGATAAAAGCCTAATACACAAATTGTCCCTGCGGGAGTTCAACCGGGAGACTGATCGCTCGCTGTGATGTGCGCTGACCACCAGGGGTGGCGCAGAACGAAGGAAGGCCACGTCCAGCAGCTGGCAGCCAGAAGGAAGGCCCTGGCTGGCAGTTGGAAGGACCTGATCGTCCCTGACCGCCAGCCAGGCCTAGGGATCCTACCTGTGCATGAATTTCATGCACCGGGCCTCTAGTATGAAAGAAAGATAAAAAGAAAATGAGACCTCCCCAGTTATGTTCTTTATTATATTCCTTCATTCCACAACTGATTGAAAGCCAGCTCAGTTCTGATTTGCAGAGCAGCAGGGGAGGCACACTGTATGTGTAGGGAGGACAAATTATTTTCATTCTACCCTTCTGAATTATTGCCCCCCCCCAATAAAGGAGAGACTAATCAAAGGAAAACAAACAGAATTTTAATAACATGGATGCCAGGCCAAAAAAGGGGGGGGAGGGGTTTGGGGAACAAGTTAACATATAATGTGGATTTATAAAAAAACATTAATTGTCTTATACATTTTGATAAGCGGCAGCACCAGCTGCATTTGTGACACAGTTGGTGGCATTGGGAAAAAAAAGTATTCTGTGATTGAAGTGAATTATGTTATAAATGCAAAGAGAAGATAAAATATTAAAAAACATATTTTCTAAAAAAAATAGCATGGATACCTCCTATATACATAGGCGAGACCCAGGAAAACTGAGTAACTCCCTGAAATAGCCCAAGAAACCAACTTGCCCAGACAAAACACTCTCAGTAGTCCTCACAAACTCTGGGTATTTATAGTCTAAACTAGAGGCCCGATGCACAAAATTCGTGCAAGGGACTCAGCCCTCGCAGCCCCGGCTACTTCTGGAAGGTCATCCGGAAGGACGTTTGGCTGTTCGGTCTAATTAGTATATTATGCTTTTATTATTATAGATATCCCCTTGCTGTAGTTGTCTCTTCATATACTGCTATGGATAAGCCCCTGTAGTGCCCCTCAGCAGCTGAGCTACTGAGTAGTTATCAATGAGAATAAATGAGATACCCTGACTCAGATTATATCACTCATATCCAAACAACCTATAAAAACAACTTCATTCTTAGATCAAAACAATTTCACTCTTAAAAACAACTTTAATTTTTGTCATAAGTAGATTTTAAATCATATAAAACTGATACACAATAAGTGTGAATTCTCAAGTTCCCAGCCACAAGTCTGAATATCTCAGAGGTGTTTCTAGAAGTTTAAAAACATCACACAATCAAATACAGTTGTTTATTCCAACAATAGCAGTTCAATACTAAAATTAAAAGGCATATATCAGATAAGGCACTACAAGACAATAAAAAAAGAGGAAGATATGGCTCCTGCCTGCAAGGAATTTGCATTCTAATCCAATTATAATATGAGTATATTATACCAATTCATATACATTTTCCATTTTAGATTTCTGAAACAGAAAGTTCTTGTTCTTCACAAGTTATTTTCTATTAATGGAGAAACCCAAACCATTGATTTCTGACCTCTCTACAGGCGAGAGTACTGCATTATATGAAAAAATAGAAAGAAAGGAAGGGAGGAAGGGAGGAAGGGAGGGAGAGAGAGAGAGAGAGAAAAGAAAAGAAAAGAAAAGAAAAGAAAAGAAAAGAAAAGAAAAGAAAAGAAAAGAAAAGAAAAGAAAAGAAAAGAAAAGAAAAGAAAAGAAAAGAAAAGAAAAGAATACTTTGAGTTTGTCTGCTTTTAGCTCTAGACCAAGATTTCTCTACTTTGGCGTTGTTGAAATCCAGGGTCAGATAATCTATGCATTGTTTAGCTGCATCCTTGGCCTCACCCACTAGATGTCAGTAGTACCCTCCTCCAGTTATAACAATGAAAAATGTCTCTAGACATTGCCAAATATCTCCTGGGGGGCAGAATCCCTCTGTTGAGAACTACTGGCCTAGAAACTGCCAGGAGAGCTTTATGTTTGTACTGCTGGGGTACTTTTGCCCAAAAAGACAAGGTTAAGATCTTGCACTTCCAGCTTTGGGCAGCTACCTCAGAAAGAAGAATGTTTCCTATGTAAGAATGAATCAGAGGCAAATTTCTGTTTTTTGTTTTTGTTTGTTTTTTTTAATGAAAAGAAGAGTGTCAGGGACCCTGCCATGCACAAGGATATTTGACTGTATAGCAGCTGCCTTGTCAAATCCTTAGACTCATTCATAGCAGTGAGGTGAGGTGCAGAGGGTCATTAGTAATGATTTCCTGTTGGTCTTGGTTTTACCCACGTATGGTGCTCCTAAAGGGCAGAGAACTGTAACACCCCAAATTATACATGTGGGTTCAATCCATCATGCATGGATGTCTCAAAAGATCTGTCTGTGTTATCAGGAAGTCTGTGGAGATTTCAGGGACTTGCCACAAAGACTGTTCCAAACTAAAGAGGTTCATTTGCCTAGATGCATCAAAGCCCAATAAAACACGAGCAGGAGTATGCAGCAAAGAAAGTAAAGGTTTATTTAAGAAAGTGGCACCAAGCCTGGAGACACAGGTGAGCTAATGCTCAAAGACCAGGCTCCCCAATGGCCTATATGAGGGCAGATTATATACGGGAACAATTATTAATCATTGTGACTAAGGGAGTTGAGGTCATGGGATCTACTGATTATTTGGGGCCAGGATAAGAAGTAGTGGTTATTGTATTAAGTCCTGATGTCAGCTGTGGTGTCATTCTGTCCAGTTTTGTGAGGGTAAAGATGTTTGTTATGCTTTTATGGGCCTGGGACTGACACACAACTGAGACCAAGATGCCATGTTCAGTTTGAAACTGTTCCCTTGATCAACAGACCTGAGGTTTTGTTCCTAAGACCTTATGATGCTAACCAGAACCTGATGTCCTAAGGACTTTGTGATTAAGGGAGTGGACATGCAGTATGTCGTGATGCTATTGACTGGACAAAGCTAGCTTGAATTAAGGGGGAAAGTCATATTAAAGAAATGAAGTTCCTGTGCAATTACAAGACCTGGTTCTTGAATTTTTGGTAGAAAAATCAGCATCAGTGATGTTATCAGTGCCCATGTGGGACAAAATGTGTCTGTACACTTAATATTATAAACAGAACTCCAAGAACCTTCACAATGGTAATATTCTACCCAGGTTTTACAGAATGGCCTCGTAATCTTCAAATATTGCATACATAAGAGGTGAAGTCAGCATACACACTTAAATAGGACCATATAATTCCTCCAATGGGATTTATCTCTCTCTGGTTCTCTTTGGTCTGACATACTTCTCTGCTGTGATTCAAGAAGTATTTGAGTCTGTCCTTAAGGCCTTAAGTATCTCTATTTCCCCCACTTTCCTTTCTTCTGAATGATATGACAGTGTAGGGGAAGAAAAATAATTTTTGTTCTATATGTCTAGGTCCTGGACTGAGACCCAACCCCCTCCAATAATAAAAGACAGATTAACAGGAGAAAAAAAAAAAACAAAAAAAAGTTTAATAACATGGATACCTGCTGTATACATGGGAGAGACTCAAGAAAACTGAATAACTCCCCCAAAAGGCCCAAGCCACCACCTTAAATACAGTCTTCAGCTAAAGACAAAAGATGTTGGGGCAGGGCTCTAGTGTGGGAGGTTATCAGGAAAAGCACAGTAAACAAGAGTAAGGTTGTTATATAGATTTAAGTCAGTACCTTCTCCATTGATGAAAGTCTACAGATTTAGTCTTCTTCCTGGTACAGAGAGGGATACACCCTTACAAATGGAGATTCCCTTATAAATATAAATGTCTCTTACAAGAGGATAACTTCTACTGCATTTTCAGACCTTCTCATGTGTCAGTTGTTTCTTAAAAAAATTCAGCCTAGCCCTAACCGGTTTTGCTCAGTGGATAGAGCGTCGGCCTGCGGACTCAAGGGTCCCAGGTTGGATTCCGGTCAAGGGCATGTACCTTGGCTGCGGGCACATCCCCAGTAGGGGGCGTGCAGGAGGCAGCTGATCGATGTTTCTAACTATCCCTCTCCCTTCTTCTCTGTAAAAAATCAATAAAATATATTTTAAAAAATTCAGCCTAAAATAATTCTTGTGCCAAAGAGATATTGGGGTGACTCACTCTGCTCTCCATCAACAGGGCCCCTAAACCCTGAACATCTTATAGGTCTCAAACTAACAAGAAATTACCCCTTTTCTTCTCACAATCATCAGTGTCTTTCTTAATTTTTCCAAAACCCTAGAGTGTGCTCTAATGTCAACTGGCAGCCTACAATATTACATTGTGTGTAAGGAATCCAGAAATCTTCAAAACAGCAAGCAAAATTACAGGATGCATGCAATGCAAGCCTTTATTTCTACTAGCCAACCAATTAAAACCTTAATGGTTGATTGAACATTTGCTTTCCAAAAATTACTTCTCCTCTTTCCCCATTTACTTTGTTGAAAATATGTGCATTATTGAAAATTTCATTAATATGTTCCTGTGTTTAAAACTAGTTTAGCAGTCTGTTCTCTGCATCTATGAGCCTGTTTCTATTTTGTAAGAAAAAAAAACACACCAAAAAACTCATAGACATAGACAACAATATGGTGATTACCAGAGGGAAAAGGGTGTGGGGGAGGTAGAAGAGGGTAAAGGGGGGATAAAAATGGTGATAGTGACAAAAGGAGACTTGACTTTGGGTAGTGAACACATAATACAATATACAAATAATCTATATTATAAAAGGCCAGTGGCCGTAACACCATAATGCCGTAACGACCAAACAACCGGTCACCAGGAGGTGCATTGATGGGTCTCTCGGCGCACGGCGAGTCTGGGATCTTGCGCGATTTCGAGCACTGGGCCTCTAGGGTACTATAAAATTGTACACCTGAAACCTATATAATTTTACTAATCAATGTCACCCCGATAAATTCAATAAAAATTTTAAAATACAAGTAAACTGGGCATATCCCTAAAAAAAAAAAAAAACTTAGTTTAGCAGGTGGAGCCCAGGAAATTATCAATTCTAATCTCTATGCATTTTTCCTGTTATCATAAGACTATGATGCATTTGGTTTAAGTGAAATTAGAAGGTGGACTGAGAGGCTGCAGTTTGACAAGACATCAGAGGCTGCTCCTTTGCAAAGGGCTCTCTGACCTGCTCATGTCCATGTCCTCTGCTTTAGTCAGCCCCTAAGTAGCTAAGTCCTGAGACTTCTCATTTCCATTAGCCTCAACAGGCTCTCCACAAATAGAACCGCCTGATGTGTGATCCCAGATAAGGGACATCCTGATGGCAGTCCCGATGTGCTTTCTCCTAGTGCACCCACTCTGGGAAAGAATGGACCTGGTCCCCGGGGGCGAGCGCCAGTCGCCCATCAACATCCGGTGGAGGGATAGCGTCTACGATCCTGACTTAAAACCGCTCACCATCTCTTATGACCCTGCCACCTGCCTACACCTCTGGAATAATGGATACTCTTTCCTTGTGGAATTTGAAGATTCTACTGATAAATCAGGTGAGAGCCAGACTGATAGTCTCATCTGGAGTTAAAGGCACAGTTTCATATGGTCACAGGTTATATCACACTGTCTCCATGGAAGCACAACCTCTTTTGTTAGCAATGATGGGACACATTGGACTTACTTTTTCAATGTAAGTTTTTATGCATATTTTCTTAGTACAGGTAGTATTTTTATTACTAAATAAGCATATTTCTAAGTATAGATTTATAATTGATATAGAAGATAGGGTGTGAAATTAAAAACTGTGTCCAGCCAGAACCAGTTTGGCTCAGTGGATAGAGCTTCGGCCTGCGGATTCAAGGGTCCCAGGTTCGATTCCGGTCAAGGGCATGTACCTTGGTTGCGAGCACATCCCCAGTGGGGGGCGTGCAAGAGGCGGCTGATCGATGCTTCTCTCTCATCGATGTTTCTAACTCTCTATCCCTCTCCCTTCCTCTCTGTAGAAAATCAATTAAAAAAAAACTGTGTCCAAAATTTATTTTGTAGGGTTTATGAATATGTACTAATTTTTTCTGCTTGTTGACTTTACAAGACACTTTTATGTTAAATAGTAACACTGTTTAATTAGATTTAACTGATCAGATTTCAATGCCTTTGGAATGGTGAAAAGAATATTCATGTGTGCATGAGGTTTTAGTCTTAACAACTAGCTAAAGCTAGTAATATATTAGAAAAATGGAAACTCATATTCTGTTAATTTTGTTAGTTAAGCAATGTTACCTAGTTTAAAATAAACACACTTTTATTTTAATGTGTTTTTATTGATTTTTTTAGAGAGAGGAGAAGGGAGAGGAAAGAGAGATAGAAACATCAATGAGAGAGAAACATCCATCAGCTGCCTCCTGCATGCCCCCTACTAGGATTGAGCCCGTAACCTGGGCCTGTGCCCTGACCGGAAATTGAACCGGTGACCTCTTGGTTCATGGGTCAACACTCAACCACTAAGCCACACCGGCCAGGCAAGAAACACAATTTTAACAGATTTAAAAATTCACACATTATATTGCTTTTGAATCTTTTTTTTTCTCTTAGTCAGATATAAATTAATCTGAATGATTTCAAAGTTTACCTGAAACTTTAGAGTGTGATGAATTCTACACAGGTTTTTCTTTTCCTTTCCCAAGCCAAATTTGATGTTATCAAATAGTCCTAATTTCATTGAAATAATTATTATTTTAAATAGTGTGTCTTTTTAAAGAGAGGTTATCAACCTGTGCCAATTTTGCCACCTCTTTTTTTCCCAGGACTGGGGACATTTGGCAATGCCTGTAGGCATTTGTCATCACAACTGGAGGGTAGTGGTGTGACTGACATCTAGTGGGTCGAAGCCAGGAATGCTGCTAAACATCCTACAATAGGCAGGACAGCATTCATGAAGAGTTATCCAGCTTCAAATATTAATAGAGCTGAGACAGAGAAATCCTGATTTAAAGGAAATTAATCTCCTCTTCTGAACATGAAGAAATGAGTCTGTGAAAGTTCATAAATGAAGTAAAAGTGTGGGTGTTCACTCCTGTGTTTATCCTGACTCTAGGATTCTCAACTGTATCTTGGTTTTCCTTGCATTTTCCTAGTGATGCTCTGATATCTAGACATGGCCTTCTGACCAACTGCAAACAGAATGATCCTGCAATGGGGTTCATCTCTCCTTAAGGGCTTAGGTGTCTCTATGTTGTACCCCATTTTTTTTCTTTCTCCTCCATGATATTACATGATCCCCAAACCCTAAACATCTTATTTACATTTCTCAAGCTAGAAACTACTCCTTTTCTCCAGATTCATCAGTGTCTTTCTTCTTACATCTTTTAAACCCTAGAGTATGCCCCCATCTCAACTGGAAGACTATAATATATTTTATATAAGGATTCCAGAAATCCTTAAAACAGGAAGCTAAAGTCCTGTTTCAGATAACCATCTTGCACTATGGTGAGCTCTACTTGTCTACCTTAGAGCTCTACCATTACTCCTGCCAGAGCTAGAGTAATGGACAGACCCAATCCACAAAACACCAGCTCTCATATGTTCACTCTGGATGCATAGCAATCCCCTCAATTAATTAGTATCAGCCCCAGCTGGTCCTTAGAAACCTTCTTTTCTTCTGACAGTTATTGGTGGGGTGCTCTCCATGTCCCCATCTGTCATTGGTGGAAGTGGGCTTCTTGGGATGCTGCAAGAATAAGAATTTCCCCGCCCTAACTGGTTTGGCTCAGTGGATACAGCGTCGGCCTGCGGACTGAAGGGTCCCAGGTTCGATTCCAGTCAAGGGCATGTACCTTGGCTGCGGGCACATCCCCAGTAGGGGGTGTGCAGGAGGCAGCTGACCAATGTTTCTCTCTCATCGATGTTTCTAACTCTCTATCCCTCTCCCTTCCTCTCTGTAAAAAATCAATAAAACATATTTTAAAAAAAGAATAAGAATTTCCTGAGGCTCCCATGGGAGGATGAGGTATTGTGGAAAGCTTTATTGATGAGGTAATATTAAGGGGCTTTCTTTCCAAGGTCCCACCTCCCTCTATCTTGCCATGGAAAAAGTCCCATTTTATCTTCAGCAGGGCTAAGATCAAAACTATTACATAGAGTTTCTGCTCCCTATTTGCACAGTTCAGTCCAGCATCTGGCTAGCTTAGTTTGTGTTCCCAGCTGTGGTCTATTGCATGTGGAGGCCATATGGCCATGGGCCATGCAGCTTCTAGGGCCACATGACTCTGGAGGCACATGGCCCATGCGGGTCATGGAGCAAATGAGAAACAGTAGTACAAGTGGGAAACAGGAGTTCAAGTAGCAAGAGGAACAAGAGAGAAATCTTTGGGGAATTTTACCCTTCCAAAGATTTTTCAGGCTTGCAGTGGATCCACCCCTAGCCTATTATATTTGTTCCCAGATTAGACTGACAGACAAGCACCTTTCCTACATCACCCTCACTTTACTTGCATGCACCCATCTTCCCCTTTGTTGGACCCCTTCTTCCAGTGATTTTCAGGAAATGGAATGGTGCTTCCCTGGGAAGAGTAAAATTACAGCTTTCTGGTGAAGCTGCCCAGATGACCATGCTTATAATGTTTGCCCTTTCCCTTTGCTCCTTTCCTATTATTACTATTAATAAACTAGCTAGTTACAATGGTAACATGAGGATTCTAAATAGTGATCAACCTTCTATTAACTTTAATAGTTTAGGGACTTGCCAATATTTTATTGCTTTATTGAGCTAAAAATCTTAGGAAGTTGTTTAATGGGTTTCCTAATCAAGTGAGTCAATCCCAAGATCGTTCAAGGCAAATAGTTTATTTTATTTTTAAAAATATGTTTTTGTTGATTTCAGAGAGAGGAAGGGAGAAGGAGAGAGTTAGAAACATCAATGATGAGAGAGAATCATTGATCAGTTGCCTTCTGCATGCCCCCTACTGGGGATCGAGCCTGCAACCTGGGCATGTGCCCTGACTGGGAATCAAACCTTGACCTCCTGGTTCAAGGGCCAATGCTCAACCACTGAGCCACACTGGCTGGGCGTTTTGTTTTATTTTTCAGTCATGCTCTTCTCATTTGAACAATAGACCCAAGAATTTTCATCCACCTATTTGCAAGGGCAATCTTATATGAAAAAAACAGCAACACACATTTTCCTCATAATAGTTCTCTAGATACTTCCCAACACAGCAAGCTGAATTATTCCTTAATCTTACCTTCCCTAGGTGAGTCAGTTTCACACTCTTTTTACAAAATGCAAGAAAGTTGGTAAGGAGGTTGCTAATTTTCCACTTGTTTTGTCAGGAAGGACTAAAATAGGTAATTCCTTTTCATTGTGTTTTAATAATTATTTTCTTTCAGATATCATTAATCTTTAATAAGTACCTAACTCTATCTCTTTTTCCACATTTCAGTGACTACCTCCTATCTCCTGCTTATTCTTCACTGCTATTTCTCCATGCTGTTTCAAAATAATAACATTCAAAGAGGAAGAAAGAATGAATGATCATAAAAAATAAAGAAAATTCAAAGAAAGCAAAGACATCCTAGAAAGGAAGGAAGGCATGAAACAACTCTAATTCTAGAAAAGAAAGGATCTAATAAATACTAATGTCTATAAATTTCCCAAAAAATAACATAGGAAATGCTGCTACAGTGTGCTTTACAAGGAAATGAGGATAAAGTGTGCAAGGGAACAAGCTGGGGAAGGTATGTGACAAAAACAAAATATACCAAACCTTATGGGATGCAGCAAAAGCAGTGCTTAGAGAGAAATTTATAAATGAAAATGGAGAAGAAATTTCTCAAATTAATAACCTACTCTTCTACCTTAAGAAACTAGAAAGAGAAGAGCAAACTAAACCTAAATCAAACCAAAAGAAGGTCATAATAAAGAGCAGAAATCAGAAGTTGGTTTTTTTGGAAAGTTCAACAAAATTGACAAATGTTTGGCTAGTTAGACCAATGGGGAAAAATAACAGAAGACTCAAATTACTAAACTCAGGAATGAAAGAGGGGATATCACATCACGATCAGCCTTACAGAAATTAAAAGGATAAGAGAAGGGTTGTGAGCATTTCATACCACTGCCCTCTGCTGAGTACTGTTTTGTTTGGCTCCCTTGAATAGAATGCAGTTATTGATTTTAATGAGTGCATATGAAGGATGCAAAATATTGTGGGAAAGGTCACTGAATTATATCTAGGCTGAGTCCTATAAATGATTCATATAAATTATCACCTTCACTGAGATTACTCTCATCAGCAATATCAGGCATTATATTGTTCTCCTAAGGATGCTTCCTGCCCCATTTGGCTTCACTTACTTTACACTTTAAGGAGCATCACCAATGAATCTACTAAGAATGCTTATACAAACATTTTAAGTTCTTCCGTATTTTTTGGTTCCATATCTACCTTTTTGGAAAAAACAAAATAATAGTTTTTAGTAAATTTACAGAGCAGTGCAGCCATCATTACAATCCTTATTTAGAGCATTTCCGTCACCCCAAAAAGTTTCATGCCCATTCCTGTATTTCATTTTATTTGTATGGGACTTGTGTGTTATCTTCCCCTTCACCATCCTTTTCTGTTAGCTCCCTCACCTCTACTTTGGGGAGGAAGGGGCAGGAAGAGATTAACCAAAGAACTTTTATGCATATATGTATAACCCATGGCACAGACAATAGTATGGTAGTCCTTGGAGGGGCGGGGTAGAGAGGGTCAATGGGGGGTGGTGGTAAGGGGACATCTGTAATACTTTAAAAAATAAAGATAAATTTTCTAAAAAGCAAAAGAAGGGAGTGAACATTACATAGGCGGTTTACCTGACACTATGCTAGGTGTTTTATATTTGTTATCTAATTTTTACATGTTTAATCTCTTCTCATCTTTAGAGCACAGAAAGAACAAAATATCAACAACCTCAAATAAATAAGTATATAATTATTTGATATATCTTATGACTGCTCTGCTTTCTAATTCACTAACTTCTGTGTCCATTTTCTGCCCCATTTCTTGCCAACTGTACTTGCCCTTCTCATCCACCCATCTCTCCTGCCTGGTTTCACCATTTTCCTTGCTCTTGTTGAGGTCACCAGTGATGTTTCAACTAACAAACGCTTTACAATCTATTTTTTTAGTTCCTGTTTTCATTGAGGATCTAAGTGTTAGGCACTGTGCCAGGTGCTCATAATAGAAAAAGGAAGAGGGGATGGTTTTGCCTTTAAGGAGCTATAGTGTGGTGGGGAGACAGAACTGTGGGACCATCTAAAGGGGGCCACCATTTCTCCTGCCCAGCCTACTGTCACCCAGTGGAAGCATGTGCCCAACATGGTCAGGACGTCTCATTTTCAAGTTAAGTTGGAAGCGTGGATTTTTATGTGAAATCATCCAGATTTAAATGTTGGCAACGAATGTAAACATGTCTTTAGTATTATGTGGGTGAATCCAAACACACCTGAAGACCTGTTCTGCCCTGCTCCCTTGAAGCCACCCATTGGTGACATCTCCTCTCTGCCTTGCTCATTGTCTTTGGAGAAGACACACATCGTAAGTGTCCAGGAAATTTTGCCACTGTGTTTCTGGGGATAGGAGAGAAAAGCTTACAGTCTCATCTGCCCTGGTCACTAAACTTGGGACCAGAACTTCAATTGAGTTAAACAGATTAGATTAATTATTTGCCAAAGTCATGCTCACAATATGGAGCTGGCATAGAAAAATAAGAATTTTGGGGAGACGTTTTACTTTTATATCAGTACACTTTACAGTGGGGCCTTGACTTACGAGTGTCCCGACTAACAAGTTTTTCGAGATACAAGCCCCCGGCCTATTTTTTGCTTTGAGTTGCGAGCTAAAATTCGGGTTACGAGCCAGCTTCAGATACCCCACCGCTAGTTGGCGCAGTGAACGTCACAGTGAACGCCACAACATCAGCCCAGCATTTCAATTCATTGTAATGGTGTAAATTGATTTGACAAAGGAGTAATTTGAGTTACGAGCTCTGTCACAGAACGAATTAAACTCGTAAGTCAAGGCCCCACTGTAGTACCATCCTCCTATTAATTTAGTGAATCATGTGGTATTATTCTCTGCACCTTCCCTGCACCCAAAGAAGTCATTGGTGTCTTTGCTCATTTCTTACAAAACTTCTTATTTTTAAAGAGGAAGTTAGGTAAAAATATTTTCAAAAGCCAGTACAATACATAGAAGACCACTGTATGACATATCTAGTGTATTTGGTCCTTGGGATCACTGTACTCAATCATTTGCGCATATAAAATTCAACAAATGATGCGATAAATGCTAAAGATCATTATGATAGATGAGATGGATGGTTTTCATGTTGTTGTATTCATTTAACCGTGAACAGATATCACCAAGGTCTGATTAGATGGAAGAAATGAGGCAACAAAATGGTTTAGCAAATTCAAGCAAAAGAAAAAAATTAGCACCATCCAAAACCTGAGGAAGGGTGACTTGAAAAACTCACATCCAAATATTTTGCCTATACTGTAATGTATTGATTTCATGAGTTTCAGAAAACATTAGTCTAAACAAAAGGTATTTATTATCCAGCATGGTGTACCTACTGGTGAAGTGTATGAATGACTCACATTATTCACTCTGTCCAAAGGGAGATGGGTGATAATTTTTAACTTGCAAATTTCCTATTCTATTTCAATGAAAGGGAAGGGTATCTGCAAAAATGGAAAAGCCAAGTATCAGTGCATAAAAAATAAATAGAATACCTTTTGTCCCCATATTTCAGCTTTATGAAATTGGGTTGGATATATATGGTAAGAGAAATATACATTTTACTGTACCCACAAAAAACGGGGCACAGTAGATGCAGAATATAAAAATAAGTCAAGAATTGACCTTTAACAATTGTATATAGCTTGGAGTGTAGTTAAGTCTCAGTGTCATTCAGCGTGCAGATCTCCCCCTTAGACATGTATCAACTGCGTGGAAATTAAGTTTATAAAACACTTGTATACAACACAGTGTGTTCCACTTAAGACAGTTCATATAGAAATTTCACCCACAGAGTTGGCCTTTCCTTCCATTTTCCACGGTGTGAAAAACTGTCCCCTAAAATTGTTGGATGTGTCATTTCAGTGATCAAGGGAGGACCCCTGGAAGATAACTATCGATTGAAGCAGTTCCATTTTCACTGGGGGGCCATCGATGCCTGGGGCTCTGAGCATACTGTGGACAGCAAATGTTACCCGGCAGAGGTATGTTGAGAAGCTGGGGATCAGTGACAACTGCGGAGGAGTGGGGATAGTTCTGAGTTTCTAGTTTGAAGACATTATCAGGAAGAATCAAGTGATTCCTATAAATCTAAATAGCTCTCTCAGGGGCATATTAGATAGATTATTCCCAATTATTACATGTAAAATGATAACTGCCCTCATCTCAAATAATATAGCTTAAGTCAACCTTAAGATTACAAAATAGACTTCTTTCAGAATTCTAAGCTAAGTTCAAATCATAGGCTAAAGTAAAAACCTAGGCAACAGTGCAGGACCACCACATCTAATTAATCCAAGTGAGAGATGGTGGGAACCTAAATGAAAAAATAGATATAAAGAGTGAGATTTAGCAAGCATTTCTAACCTAAGAGCAACAACACTTGAGGCAGGGTCCTCTTTAGGAAAGGAGAGGAGAGGAAAGGAAGGTAAGCATGACCTTGAGGGTCTTACTTGGGAGGCTGGATAATGAAACATTCATGAATGATGGATGAGGAATAATTTGTAGTGAAATATAGGGAACACATAAGCACATAGAATTTCTTCTAACAATTTCCCCCCTAATTTAGTTTTGTGTTAGCTTTAAAAGAAACATTTTAACTGGTTCTCACTCAAAGAAATGTGTCTTCAACTCCTATCTAATTCCCATAGGGAGAATCTATTTCTCTCAAGATAAGCATCTCTCCTTTATATGCAAATGGTTTGGGATATGAGTGTTTCATGCACATCAGGGTGAGAATGGACAAATGTTGCTCCCTCACTGAAATGTTACTCACTCTGCTATATATATTTTCTTTTATTTTCCTTCCCAAATAAATGTCTTCCAAATTAATTTCTGCTGCTGCATACATTTCTTCTTGTTCTTTATTTTGATTTTGTATGCTTTTCCCAGTGGCTTTATTATGGGTGAGGAAACATGTTAAAATATAATGTTAAATAAGGCTATTTTTGATCAATCCTGTGTGGTCATGTGTCAAACCATCTTTTAATGGCGTTTCAGCTGCACCTGGTGCATTGGAATTCAGTCAAATTTGAAAACTTTGAGGATGCAGCACTGGAAGAAAATGGTTTAGCTGTGATAGGAGTATTTTTAAAGGTAAGAAAAAGTTACTAACTTTAATTGATGTGTAGTATTCTAGGATGAAAAGACAGAACATTACATGACTAAGTTCTAAGAATATTGGGATAAAAATAAACAATGGTTAAAATACCAGATTATTATGAATATATTTTAAATGGTATAAAAATGTACGGTCCAATAGAGTAGTCACAAGCCACATGTGGCAACTGAGCACTTGAAATGTGGTTACTTTGTGGAACAGTTTTTAATTTTAATGAATTTAAATTTCAAACCTTATAGTTAAATGGAGGGGCACCTTTCCCTGCAGGTATGCTGATCCTATCAGCAAACAGCTTGCTCTTTTGTTCTGTTCTAATTTAATTCAGTGATATTTATAATATTCTAATTTACCAGTTTAAGTATAGTTTAAGTAGTGTGGTTGGTTTGTTTTTATGTAATCACCAGGTGGTTAATTTTAATTCACATTCTGTTGTAATTTCAAAAGTGAGTTGTCAATTGTTTTTAATATTTGCTCATTGCTTTTTCTTTAGCTAGGGAAAAATCATGAAGAGCTACAAAAATTGGTGGATACGTTGCCATCAATTAAGCATAAGGTAATATTTTTTTTCCAAAGGCACTTGTAATATATTTTATGTTTAAGTCTCAGAGTGGAAATACTAACAAAGCCCTTTGAATTGGGAAATGTAATTAACTTCAGTGTAATTCAAGTTATCTTTGAAAGTTTCCTAGACAACAATTTGGGTTTTGGTGCTTGTGTGTTGAGAGCACCCCTGGCCCTCAGGGTACAGCAGGGATTTCTTTGGTGGGCACTGGCCACTGGTTTTGCTGCCATGCCCTGAGCATTCAAGGACTTGGGAACATAATGGGTCCCCTCCTCTGCTCCTGACACTTGCTCCCTCTCAGTCCTTGTGGACACACTTAGAGCAGCCTTCTTGACTCTAGCTACCCTCCCTCAGGCAGGAAGCAGAGAAAAGTTGGACAGAAACTTGGCTTGTCCACCTCTAAATAACAATTACCCATATCCTTCAGGACAGATACCTTTGTCCAGCCCCAAGATCAGTTGTTCAATATTCAGAATCCCAAAGGGGCTGCTCCCTGGAAGTCCATATGTTGTTCTCTTTCTCTTTCCCTCCCCATCTCCCCCTCTTTCCTTCCTTCTTCTTTCCCACTCCCTTTTGAGTCTAGGATCCTGGCTCCTCCTAATTTGCATTGCATTTTAGAAAGGAGGATGCTATAAGTCTCTTCAAAAAGGAAGCCTCCTTATTTGTGCACCAGCCACCACCTAATGCCCCCCAAGAATTCAGAGGAGACCACCTGCTGGAAACTCAGTAGAATGGAGGGGGAAAATGGGTTCTGCTGTGTTCCCACTGAGGAGTGTCAGAAATACAGAGTTAATTGCAGGCATGGGCGTGTGTGATTCTGTCCAGAGGACCTAAGGAGCTCCTCTGGACACGGCTGGTCCCCAGACACTCCTAGAGTTGTTGCCTTGTCATCTGATTCCTGAGTGGTTGTCATCACCATGAAATGATAGTTTGGTGACCCTTTCTCTTGGCTAGGATACCATAGTGGAATTTGGGTCATTCGACCCTTCCTGCCTGATGCCCACCTGCCCGGACTACTGGACCTACTCAGGACCCCTGACTACCCCACCACTCTCTGAGTCCGTCACCTGGATCATTAAGAAGCAGCCTGTAGAGGTTGATCATGATCAGGTACATTCTTTCCACGTTTCTGTATAAGGAAATTCTAGTTTTCCTCTTCAAAACAAGCCTGGGCTCAAACTTTGGGATCAGTTTTTAACTTATAATGCTTATACATTCTTATTAAAATGTGCTAACTTCTTGTCTAATTTGGGTATGAATTAGAAAAAGCTTTAGTGAACCAGGGAAAGGTGTTAAAACATAGAACATAAGCTTTTTGCTTTCATTCTTGACAGTGACCTATATTTTGCTGTGTACACATTGGGTACAGTCTCTATAAAAATTAAAACTCTTTTAAATGAGAAAAAATGAAGGCTGGAAATAGCTATGTTTAAAACCTTTTAGTTAAGTAAATTTTACTAAGGAATCTTAGAGTAGAGACAGAATCCAGTAAAGCCTAAATAGAAATTGGGAGTTTAGATGTGGTATTTGTTTCTCCTTTAGAAATTAAGTGTATTGTATCAACATACAATATCCTGTTTAATAAATTAACTAAACTATAATAACTGTTTTTACTTGTTTATATTGGATTTTTATTGATTTTTTTTTCATAACAAAATCTTCCAAATTCTTTTTTTCAAGGCAATGTAACAATGAAACTAAAACACACTAAATGTTGGGATTCCCCCCAAAAAGTAAACAGTAGACCAATATCTCTCAAGAAAGTTTAGGAAAAAAGAAAGCTAAATAAAATATTGAAATAGAATCCAGAGTGCATCAGAAGAAATATATACTTTGTCCGAGTATAGGATTTTTTTTAGTATTGCAAGGATGTTTCAGTATTAGGAATGATATTATTAGGTACCTACTATTATTAGCATCTATTTATATAAAAACTCTGGGTGTTCGCCCGTCACATCCAAGGCTCGACCAACTGGAAGGAAGTCAGTCCTGCAGGGGTTGCCTTGGCGACGGCTGCGCCCTCCCCTGAGCTGTTTCCCATGAGGGCAAGGTTTGAGGCAAGAACCGGCCCTCAGAGCGTGGAGTCCTGGGTCACCTTGCCAAGGGCTGTGCCCTCCCCGAGCTGTTTCCCCTGAGGGCGAGGTTTGAGGCAGGAACCGGCCCTCAGAGCTCGGAGACACCGAGTCCTGGGTCGCCTTGCCAAGGACTGCGCCCTCCCCGAGCTGTTTCCCACTAGGCCTGAGAGAAAAACCCACCCTCGGAGTGCCAGGAGCGCCCAGCGGCAGTCAGTCCTGGGTTGCT